GATTCTCATGTTTTTTCCTCCCTTCTCCACCAGTAAAGCACATCAATGTGATGTGCAGTGAAGTGCACACCAAACACAGTGTTCCTCACTGGGAAAGCAAATGTGCTTTTCAAATCTGAGTTGGATGACCTCACAGACAACAGGTCAGTGAGTGGGCACCAAAGGACTGGGCAGGACTCAACCCTGCCTGGTGCCTGCCAGGTCTGGGTGCTGCTGGAGGAGCCAGGAGCAGCAGGTGGGACATATTCAGGCTTCCAGGCTCCTCCTCGGCATCATCTTCATCACACTCCTGAGCTAGAAGGGCTGATCTGAAGCCAGATCTTCTCAAATGAGGACAGAACCTTGTTTAGGAATGCTTTCACAAAGGCACACATGACTAGCCTGGAGCCAGCTCCCTGCCCAGGCTGGGTCTGTTTGTTCTGGCACCCAGCTCCCACCCAGCTCCTGCACACAAAAATCCATTGCCCACTTCCCACTTTTACCCATTTGAAGTGTTTTATACTTTTGGTTGTCTTAAGCTCTTCAAACTTCAAAAAGGATTTTTTTTTTTTTTAAGATTTTATCTCATATGAAGAGACGGAAAAAAAAAAATATTTTATAAGGAAATAGGCAAAAGCATTGTCAGAATGCTCAAAACTGCTTATGTTCCCACAGTACTTGCAGCCACACACAGAACTTCTTGAACTACCAGATCAGTGCATGACCAAGAAGGGAGCCACTGAGTGCATGAGAAGGAAGTGACTCAGACTGAAATTCATAAAGGACAGCATGAATGGGACAGGATTTCCGCTTACAGCTCTTTTTACATGGCAAGGCTCCTTTACAAAGAAAAAACCTACCCACAAAAAACATAACCCTGCTCCCTCCTGTCCCATTCAGTTTTTAAAACAGCTCTGTGGAAAAGCTCCAATATGGATTTTAAATCAGAATCCCAGTATCAAACCTCCAAGCCTTCTACCTGTACAAAACACCATCCATCATGCTACCAGAAACACCCAGAAGAATTGCTTAATTTTCAGCCACTTATGAGTAGTTTGTTTTTTAATTTTTTGCCTTAAAACAGCCTATTTCCAACGTAACTGGAAATCTTTATTTACAAGTGCACCACCCAACACAGCACAATGCAGTCAATGAAAAAGGGCAGAATTGCACTTATATCCCAAATCTGAGACCGTAAATTTGCTAGTAAAAAGAGGATGTTGCTGTTACAAAACCACCCTGGGATAAAGGTGCATTATAGAAGCACCAACTTATTTTTAATGTACCATCGTGCTGTACAGAGTGCAGAGGTGCACAGGCTGAATCCACAACTGGAGAGGTGACTAAACAATAATTTAACAATTATCCAGAATAATTTACTTAATTTCAGTACTGATCACATTTGGAATTGATGATCAATAACCCCACTTCTTCTACCAGTGGTGAATCTGGGGAACCCTACCTTTGATATTGGCAGGAAGCTGGAAGTTATTGATACATGGCAGAATTTTCCTTGAGCACTTACTCAAAACTCATGGGCATAATACATGAGAGTAGATTTGGATGGAAAAGTACATTTAAAATTAAGTATCACACAGTACTGTGATTTTTTTCAGGAAAAGGGTCGAGTTGTCCTTGCTTTGTATGCTGGACATTTTTTTCAATATTATTCACATGATCCCAGAATGATTTGGGATGGACCTTAAAGATCCTCTTGCTCCAGCCCCTGCCATGGGCAGGGACACCTTTTACTATCCCAGGCTGCTCCCAGCCCCATCCAACTTAGCCTTGGACACTCCCAGGGATGGGACAACCACAGCTTCTCTGTGCAGCCTGTGCCAGGCACTCCCCATCCTCACAGGGAAGAATTCCTCCCCAATATCCCATCTAACCCTGCCCTCTTTCAGTCTAAAGCCATTTGCCCTGTCCTGTCACTCTGTGCCCATGTGAGAAGTCCCTCTCCAGCTCTCCTGTAACCTCTTTAGGGGCTCTAAGGTCTCCCCCCTTCCCCAGGCTCAACCCTCTCATTCTGTGTGGATAAGGAAGGTGTTCCATGCCCTTTATTGTTCCTGCAGCCCTGTAATAAGCTCAGCCCCAGCAGAGAGGTTGTGCTAAGGAAGGAGTAACACACCCCTCAGAGAAATCACTACCAAGGAGCAGGACCAGCATCACCTTAAGCACAGGGGCAACAGATCCAAGAACAGAAACTCCCATCCTCCCTGTCACAAATCCCTGTGGGGATCATCTTTCCCTGCTGACTGAAGCAGATGCCCCAATTGCCTCTCTGAGCATCAGCTCAGGACAGCTGGGACTGCAGGAAGAGGTGCCCCTGGCGAGCTCCCACCCACACTTCCAGCAGCTCCCAAACTTTGCTCTAGCCATCCCAATCCCTGAGGACAGCAATCCCTGCCAGGCTGCAGCACTGTGTACTGACACAGGCTGTTCTCTGCAGCAAGCAGAGCTCAGGCTGTGCAAGCGCCTGCTCCAGCTGTGTCTGGGGCTCCTAAAGCCCCTCCCTTGCCAGCAGCTGGATCCTGGGATTGCTCCATCATCCAAACACCCAAAAGAAGCCAGTTCCACTGCAGGAGCACACACACCCCGCAGCCAGATAGGAAATGATAGGCCATCAAGCATATCACAATCCCAATTCAAAAATCCAAGCAAACAAAGCCCTCAGCTCCAGCTCTCCTTCACCTTACTCCAAGTTTTACTGCAAATTCATACATTCCTACTCCCCTCCTCAAGAGTTCTTTGGTTAAGTGGTTTTCTAAATAAAGACTTAAAGACAAGTTTTATACATATATATACACGTTTTTATATATTTATGTATCTAAAAATAGGTTTTCCAGGCTATTCTGCAATTTTGGAAGCAGCCACACAGCACCATCAAGTTTTTAACTATTAGTAAGCTGAACAGATACACATCCACAAAACCTGTAAGTTTAAATCCCTTTGCTACTTGTTGCTTCTGGCACATTCATTTTTTCTGACTATTCTAAAAACTGTCATCTTAGCATAAATCAAATTAGCAACTGTGCTCAGACTGCTGTTAACTCTCACCCTAATTACCTGTGTGGCAGGTTAGTCAGGTATTCATCAACAAATCCCCAAATAATTAAAGAAGAAACAGAGAAAGAAAATACAAAGCAACAGAAGAACAAGCATTAGAAGCTTGTAAATATCAAGTGGGAATTCATTTTATTTTAGGGAGCTGCTTCATGACAGCCTTTAAGAAACCTCTGTGACCTTTCTGCAGAACTCTGAATGTAAGTTTACATGTATGACTACAATAACACACTGACGCCAAAAACCTCACATTCGAGCCCACAATATCTTCCATTTTTTTCCTTTTAATATGAAAAAAATTCTCCCATTCCTGCTTTGACCATGGACTTGCTGCAGAGCAGTTGGTGTGACTCCCGGGCTGCCACTTTGGGGTGCAGATGCAGAACCTAATTTGAAGAGGCAGGAGGATGGGATAAGGGATGTTATTTGCACAGGCTGCTGTTAGGGACATTTCCACAGCTGGGGGAGGTCTCCATCCTTTGCTGTCCCCATTTGAAGGCATTCTCTGGCTGACAGGACTGGGTGTGTTTTAGCCTTGACTCCACTGATTTTCTTGGCATTTTAAAAGCCCTCGTGCTCTTCAGCTGCAGCACAGCAGACCAGTCCAAGGAAACACATTAGACAAACACAAGGGTTGCAGGAAACCCTTAGATAAGATGCTTAAATGATTTCTAGATTATTTCAGAAGTGATCAGCCAGGCTGACTCAGTACCCACTGAACTGAAATTGTAAGACTATACTTTTTTCCAGGTCTTTCACACACGTGCTTCAAACACCTCAAGTATTCCACCTCAAACAAACACCTAAACATAAATAAGAATACTAATAAGCTGACTGGCAAGAAATAACTAGAAAGTCTAATGCAGTGATTCATTTTCTTGGATTACAGTATTCCCAAATACTGCTCCTTGCTAATTCTAAAGACCCTGAAGCACATCTGCAAATCCTCATTCCTTACCATTTCAGCAGCATCTTTCCCCCTTTTTGGCTATTGATACAGGTAATTTTCATGACTATTTCTTTAAGTTATGTCTCACATGTAAAAAAGTACAGAACCATATAAATATACACTATAGATAGATCATGGAAAACCTGTGTTTTATGCATAAACTAACTCAAGATATTTCAGAGTGTGCTACATTATGAAAATCCTGGACATGCTGCTTTGGGTACTACATCACAGTTTGTTCAGGCAGCTGCTGCTGTAGCAGTCAGCAAAGAGACAAGCAGAGAGGAGAAAGGCAGATAGATATAAGGGACTATAGCAAGTTACTAAACGAAATTTAGGGAGAACTGTGTGCAGAATAGCTTATGATAAATGAGATTTTATTATGGTAAAACACTGGGTTGTTCACCTAAAGTTTTAAATGGCATGTCTCTAAAAATGTTGAAGAAAATGATTTCAAAAGTAGCCAGACTTATTTTACCACTATTTCCAATGGCTAACATTAAGAAATTTCTTCTTAGTTCTGTTTTCAACTCATCTTGCTTTCACTGAATTTTTACATTTAAAAAAATCTGTTTTTTCAGTCATCACCTCTGAACTTTCTAATAACTTTACAAGGTTAACCTATGATATTCAAAATACTGGTTCCTAGTAGTCAGATTTTGGTTACAGCTTAATTGTCCATGAAGATTTTTGCGAAGTGCCAAGATGCCTCTCCAAAAAGCAAAATAAAACCAAGACCTCACCCATAAAACACATTTCTGCTTCCAACAGATAAAAGGAGACTGATGCTGCATCTACCAAGGGATCAGTCACAAAAGATGGGGAGTCCCTGGGCTCACCTTACAAAACAAGCACAGCCCAGCGTTGGGATTTAAGCTCACACCGTATTAACGCGTGGGTGGGAGTGTTTCTTGGCACGGCCACTGGATCCACACAGAGGAGGTCACAAGCCGGAAAGGTGCAATAAAAAGGAATGAAAAATAAATAAATAAAGCCCTCTTTTTACCATGTGGGTCTTGCTCATTGGACTTTGGGCTGCTCCTTGCTCTGCGCTCCGGTTTCTTCAGGGCCGGGGCTCCCCCGCCGCCGCTGCTGGCCCCGTTGTGGCTCTTGGCGTAACCATTGTACACGGTGGTGCAGCTGCCTATGTGGCTCTTGTAGATGGAGGAGGGAGGGCTGTTCAGGCGGTTCTGCCGGTCGATCTGCCTGTCTTTGAGTTTTTTGTGCTGTGGTTTGCTGTACTGATCTTCCCTGGTGATGTAGCTGGACATCCCATATAGTGGTATGATTTCTGAAAGGGAACGGTTCACCCGCGTTAACTCGGAACCACAAAAATCACTGAGGGGGTTTTTTCCACAGAAAACCTGGTCATCTCCAAATGAAATTACTCCAGCTGATTCTGGAGTTTTTTAAAAACCTTTTTATAATGATTCTGTATTAACTGTGCTCCTTTGATGACAACATTTTACTTTGGATAAGCGTGTAAAATACCACTATTAGGGTGATGTTTTTACCCTCCTTTTCAGGCTTTGTTTTTCAGGGACACAGATTACAAGCAAAAATCCAGACAGAACTGATCTTTTGGAAAAAGCCTTCATAAGCTCAGAGCAATTTAGCATTTTCTTCCTCAGGGGTTGACTGGACAGAACAAGCTGAGATGTGCTGGTTCCAAGCTGCCAACCCTGGATTACATGCAATTTAACTTCCCAGTATAAATAGACTTAACTGTCGTGTCAGTTGTGCTGCACAAGGAGAGAAGTGCAACATGAAGTAGAAGCTTTGGGAATTAAAACTATCTTTAAAAAGTTTGAGAATTATCATAAATATCATGTACATTCTTTGGATACACTTCATTAAATACAATCCCCACTTCCCCCTCCAACGATGACTCTCTTAAACTAAGGCAGGTCAGCTTGCAGGGATAACAGTATTTCCTGATTTTTTCTGTAATTCAATTTTCCTTTTTGTGCTTTACTTTGAGTGTGAACCTTGAAAATATCATGCCCATAAAAATGGATAGCTCTGGATAGCTAAAGCCCCTCACTCAGGATATTAAAGGAGGCTCCAGCCATGCAACAAAGGCACTCTCCAAGTTCTCCACCTCATTCCTACTCTTGGTTCCCTCAGCCCTTAAACTTTGCTGAACACAGGTGTGAAAAGCCAACCCCAGTCCCTTCCTCCCAGCTCACCTTGCTCTCCATATATTGTTGGGGGAAGATGATGCTGTGGGAAAAACTGTGGTGGCATGTCCCCAGGTCCAGTGACAGGAGGGTAAAACGCTGTGTGGGAGTTGTGGATGAAGTGGGGATGGTGTGCCAGGTAGGGGGGTAGGTGGTGGGTTGGTGAGATGGCCGAGGGGTAGCTGGGGGGGAAACACTCCGGAGACTGCGGCGTCACCACCACCCTCCGGACGCCCGTGCTGTCTTCTATCACCTGCAGAGAAAGCAGCACGTTAGGCAGCATCTGAACCAGACACACCTCTGAAACAGGCTGTTTGCAGCTTGTCTTCCCACTGCAAAACAGCTGGCCATGGGATTTAGCTTCATGAATAAACACAATTCTAAAATTAATATCAGCAGAAATAACCGTGGCGGTGATGTGGCTTTTCCTGGAGACTCAGATATCCACACTAATCACTGGGAGCTGTACTGCTGCTAGTGATAACTATGTGGGTTAAGGGACAGAATAAATAACCTGCATTTAGGGAAGAAAACAATTGAAAAAGGAACACAAAGCACCAAAATAAGCATTCTCTTTGGGACTGACCTTACATTCTGCCCATAAAATTTCTACCACAGCATTTTGACAGTGCCCTGAGAACGGAGTTAGGAACACTTTGGAAAGCAGCTGGCAATGCTGTTGTGGAGAGGCTGTGTGTGTGCACACAGACATGTACTCTGCAGGAACCTGCTGTGCTGGCCTACATGTGCAAAGGAGCTGCGCTGTTCATAACAGGTAGCTGCTCAGGACAAATCCTAGGGCAGGGGGTTTGTTTCTGTTACAGAGCTGGTCTATACATCCACACAAATCAGCTCTGGGATATGCATAACTTGGCTCCTAACACCACAGGCAAAGCATGTAAAAACAGATGTAGGAAGGTGGAAATGTGCTTAGGCTGAAAAATGTTTTTCAGGTTATAATTTTTCCAGAGTTTTATTTCTGGAGAACAGTCAACCAGCCAAATTTCAATCCAGACTTAGGAACCAAGCTTTTCTTGAAGCTCATCCAAAAAACTTCTGCCATTTCTTAAATTAAAAAATACAACCACGTAAGAACCATTACTATCCCTTTGACTCTGTATGCTGGCATGCAGGTAGGAAAGCATGAGGGAAGCATCATTTAATTTCACACAACAAACAGGTTGCCGAGAACCTCATTTTCTCCAAACTGACTGATGGCACACAGATGGAGCAGTATCTGTGATGAACATGTTGTATGAGATAAGTGAACGTGTGTGGGAACCCAGCACATCCCTCTGGCTGCCCTGGCTGTCTCCAGACCCTGGCACAGGGCTCAGAGACCTTGGCAAGAAGTCAAACACACCTGTGGCTTCGATTTTAGCCCGTGCAAAAAACTGCCAACTTTGTATGAGGAATTACAAACCACAAGGGTTTGAGTAGTGTGACAGTAAAATGAACACAGGGTGGAAAAGTAGAATTTTGGGGTTTTTAGAATGGGGTTCGAGGGGACAAGATGGAGGGATTTGGGCATGTCCTGACCTTCTTCTTCTTGTCTTCCATTTCTTGCTGTAACGGTGACACTTTTCTATTGGTTTAAGGTAGAGATTCACAGTCTAACATAAATGATAGATATCGGCACATTATTGTAAACATAGCACACGTCGTTTTTGGTATAAAATGCAAACACTACCTCAGAGGGCAGACAGAATGCCATGGCCAACTTGCTGGACAGAACTCAGCAGGTCAGAGAGAGAATGTTATAGATAAGGGAAAATAAACAACCTTGAGAAGTCAACCCTACACATTTCAGACTCCTTTGGCTGCACGGGCTGGGAAATGAGGACTTTTACACTTTTGGGGTCATCCCCACACCCAGACCCTGAGAAACGTGCACCAAAGGCACCCACTGCAAGATGCTGCCACTCTCAGCTGATTCCCACACCATCAGCTGGGGTTATCCATCCCCCAGCAGAAGAAACTCTGCTGTGGATTGCCCACACTCCAGTGGCTCTCATCGCATGCCAGTGTCTTTACTCTAAACCACAGGGAGGAATCTGCACTCTGGAGCAGAAGAATGGCACAGGCACGTGGCTGTTTGTGCCACCTGTGCCACACAGGACCAGCCCTGCCTGGGGGCAATGCCCACAGCCCCGAGCAGAACAGCTCCAGCAAACACCAGCTCCTGCCTCAGGCATCAGCTGAGCAAGGTACCACAGGGGAAAAATCCACTCAGGAGTGGCTGACCCAGTTTTTCCCCCAGGCCATGTGTGCCCTCAGGTTCTGTGCACTTACTCCTGTTAGCTATGGAATGTGACATAGACACAATTTCTCTGGCTTGGTTGGCCTCTACAGAAGACAATTTTATATAGAAAGTTATTTCAGTCACTTGTAACATTTCACAATAAAAAGGCATTGCTTGCTGAGTAACCAAAATAGTAATTGTTTGGCTTAACATGCTTGATTCTACCCTCAAAATTTACGACTTCCCCTAGCAATTTGTCAGCTGCCAGCTTTAAATTTCAAAGACTTTACAGAGTCCTCAGAAGACAGCTGAATCTCAGAGATTTAGGCTATCACATCCTTTCAACTGCTGCATTTTCAGGCTTCCCATCTCTGCTACTGGTTCTGCTCCACAGCATCTCTTATCCTGCCAGGTCTCAAACCTGCACTCTGAAATCTGGAAAACAGGAAAATCCTTTTCCATTTAGGACATATTCAAAAAACAGAACTATTTGTCTAGGACTGTGCACAGAAATGCTGCATTTAACCCTCAGACTCGGATTATGCTGTAACTTAATTGAGAGAGCAAGTTCCTACATCCTGATGTGAGAGGTTTTCATTGTGGCTTTAACTAGTCCAAGCCTCAAAGCCAACTCCAAGCTCTTATCTCTGCATCTAGACCAGCTCCACGTGCCTTTTGTGCTCTGGTGAAAGATGAATATTTTAAGGAACAGATTTAGACAGAAAGCTTGTACACTGAGCAGCACATAATGTAAACCATATTTTAAATTATTAGGATTCAGCTTCCTGAACTATCATCTATAAAGCAGGAAGGAAAGCTCAAAGCTTTGACAGGACAGAGTCCTGTCAAAGACCTTTTTGATGAAATTACAATTACCCTGCTAGATGAAGCTATAAAATATCAACAGGACTGAGAGAAGCCAGAGATGAGGGGATAGAATGGAAAATTTCAGTTGGGAGGAACCTACAACCACCAACTATTCCAACTCAAATGATGAGCCAGCCTTCCAAGTTACTTTAGTCAAAAAGCCAAGACACTAATATCTTTTATTTGTTTCCTCCCAGGCCATGAACGCTGACAGCATTTTTGTTATTCCATGTGCAGGCATGACAAATAAACACAAAAACACAGGGGACCCTGCAAAACCCACTTTGTTTCCCAATCCTACAGGGCATTTCTCTCTCAGCTAGGAATTATTGATATACATGTACATTTCTGAAGGTATACATACAATCTTTAAATACACTATTCTGTCCTTAACAAATCAAAGTTGGCAATCTGATTTATGTGTTCAACTTCACTATTTTAAGAAGAAATCTGCAATTCTTTTTATCTGCTTAAAACCATTTGTCACAAAAATCATAAATTCATCTGGAAATTGCTAAACTGTCTCTATTTCGGTGCCAAGAATCAATAAAATCCTAATCCCTGTTGAGGTCTCTAGATGCAACGGGAATATTAAAAGTAATTGCTATTACTAATCTTAGCACATTATAGTTAGAGAAAACAAATATCTCTGGTCATTTGGCACCTAGAGATGAACTTTCATTATTTTGTGGGGTTTTTTCCGAACAGTTAGTAGGTAAATTGGTTTTTGCTGGTATTTTTTGTGCTTGCTGGTATAAATGGCATGCCATCTAAATAACAATACTATTATAGCATAGTTCTGTGTGGGTTTTTTTCCCATATTTTAGGGAGCTTAATTGCTACATGAGGTAGGTGATGATCTTTCAGGGCAGTCTGGGTTGACATTACTCATACACAATAAAACTGCCTCCCCCATTGGTTACCACATTTGGGGAATGCCATTTTAAATGTTATTTGTTTTCCAGTGAAGATATCACTGTAGTAACTAGAGATAATTCACTTATTCAAAGTACATCACACTGCTCCATGTTGTCTAATTTTTCTTCACTGAAATTTAATATTACACTCTAAGGAAAAAGGCATGCTAATTGCACACAAGTAAATTGGGTCTGTATTTTGTGAGATCCAGTTAAAGAAACAGCCAACCTCATTTTGTAACACACCTTTACTGTATGAGTTTATAAGGTAATATGCAAGTAATTTCCACTTACTTAAAAAAAAAAACAAACAAAAAAACACCCCAAACAACCCTTATTTCACTTAAATTTAATATGCTAGATTCAGCAAGGACATCTGGAACATGGCCACTGGGTGGACCACAACCAATACTTTACAAATTTCATAAACTAATTTGAAGCTTCAATCATAAATCAATCTATACCCAAAAACAGTACAGAATGAGCTCATCCACAAGGCACTTGGATGTCAACATTTTATTTATTCATTTAATTTCTTAAAGATGCCAATCCGAGTTCACGCCAGTCATGGCAAGTTTGCAGCACTATCTTTAGAATCCATCAGTATTAAATGAAATACCAAATTAAATCTACACCTTCAATGTGGAAAACTTACAGATAAACATCTAGAATGCTGGCAAGCATGTTGGGGTAATTCAAATCTAGAATGATACAGTTCTTCAGGACCACTGCCCATGAACTCAAAAGGATCATCACTTCATGGCTTGCTCCATATGAGATCTGCACAACCTTCCTTCTGTTCAAAGCTTTAATGAGGATCATCAAGGATCCTCATTAAGGAGTCAAGGATTGATGACTCCTCAATCCTTGAGGAGTCATCAAAGATTGACTGCAATCCAAATAAAGAACACCCAGAGCAGCTCTGTGAGCAGTAAGTCACAGAAAAACAAGGAGATTGTCACTAAAACCTGATGCTAGCCAAACATGCTTTTGGAGAAGAACCCCTCTCTTAGAGGACAGCATGTACCCAGGACCAAGATCCTGATTTTCAAGGATGTGATACATTTCCTACCATTTTAAATGTCATTTAAAGATATTCCTCTTCCCAGAAGTTATGCTTTAGTTCTGTCAAATGCCATGTACTTGGTGCAGGAATATTGAACTGAAGGACCATGGCTCAAATTAAAAACTTCAGACCATAGAAGTCCTATGGCCAAAGGAGGTTCTTCAATACATCTGCACCTCATGGTCCAACCAGTAAATTTGTCCTTGAGTCTTAAAATATCTGTGGCAGAGAGCTCATATCAACAAACCTGTAAATAAAATCAGAAGTGGAGTTTCATGCCAAATTTTTGTGTCCAACTACAGACAAATTCTCAAATTCAGTTGAAATTGCTCCAGATTTATTTCAGAGAGAGCAGTCCTCAGTCAGTAGCACTAAACAAACACAGTAATGATTTTTGATGCTTCCATTTTTCCTGATTAGAACACTTCATACCCTCCTCCACTCCTCACAGACATACACTGAAAAGCAGGAACAACAACCCATGAGGCTGTCCCCAAATTTAACACCTTGGCCTCCAAATCCTTAATCTCACTTAACAATTGAAATCAAAAAAGTTGACATAACATACATTTAATGCAGATTTCTCTGCCATGTCAGCTTCCAGAACCAAGTTTTACAGCAGGGGTTTTGCCCACCAAGAGCACAGCAGGGAACTTCTCCTCTCATTTATATTTAACTAGCCCTTAGCCCACAAAGAATTGCAGGGACGTGAACCCTGATCTGATAGCTCATATCTGCCAGAGGTGCACAGAGGTTTGTCTGCTGAAAAGATAATGCAAAATACTGTCTCTTTCAAGAGCTGGTCTTTTGAGAGCAAAACCATAGCATGAAAGAATTGAACTGGTGGCGTGCACTTGTTTTCTATTATTTTCCTGGATCATTTCCTGCCCTGGCTAAGCCTCATCATTGGGAACATCTCCTTAACATCAGCAAATGCAGCTTCTAGTCACAATTATTAACGTGGTCCTTGAAGTCTAGAAAGAGAGTCTGTGTGCTGCTTCCAGTGGGGCTGACCTTGCAGGGCTCACATCCTTCTGCCAATTTTTCCAAAAAGGTGATGAAGCACCACATTAATCCAGGGTTGCAATCATTCGATAACTCATGTAATATACAGGGCTAACACAGCTCACACAGGCTTGGCATAACAAAATGGAAATAAGATTTCATGCCTTGTTTTTTTATAGGCACTGGTGCTACTCCACAGGGGTATTGCTTTCTGCCTGACTCTTAGATGTACACTTTGGGGACAAATGAAACCAAATAATCAAATATATTTTGATGCATATCACAGAGTGCATTAATTTGCTTTATGGTCTTCCCTTTGATGTGTTAAATTTAAGTTGTGTTCTAATTGCTTATCATAAAATAATGGGTTTAACTATGAAGCAATAGACAAAAGCAAGAGCAAAAAAGGCAGAGACATTTATTACAACAAAGAGCTAGTTTCATTACTACAGACTTTCAACTCCTATTTAATAGGAAGCAGTCTGACAGGCAAGAGGCTCACCACAGAACAGAACACACATTCCGCTGCAGAAAAGTGCAGAATACAGAGTTTTCCCCCTATAACTTTACAACATATTTCCAGCTCCCTGGAAAAACTGCTTCAGAAGAGGGGTTTTGGTTGGATTTTTTTCTTGTTAAGAAACCACTTAAAGGCTTCTTTAGTGGAATTATTATGGTGCCCCACAAAAAGCTTTACAGAAGAACTGGGCTCAGACAGAGATACAGCTGGAAGACTTTCACCCCTCTGGTTTGGAAAGCATTCCAATTATATATACCCAACCATTTATCTCAGCACAGAGGTGGAGAGGTATAAACATTTTAATATTAAAAAGGTGTTAAAAGTTATTTCAAAGGAAAAATAAATCTTTATTTATAAACCTCTGCATGATATGAGCCAGTCTATTAAATTAGGTAAGCCCATGAGGAGCATTAGGCAGCAAATGCTGTCTCAAAACTCCAACCACTCCCCTTGGGAGGGCTGAGGAGCACAAGGACCACCCTGACATCCTGCCCTCTCTCCTAGGCTTGCTAACAAATTCCCTCTTACTTGAAGTGTGTTTTCACTCTGTTCAGAAGTCAAAATACCACAGAGTGATTGCAGTATTTTGTGGGATTTAAGTATGACGCCATCCACAATTTTTCAGAATTACACAAACTCACATGTTTCCTGGGGAGGGGAAGAGACTCCAGGACATCATTTATTTTCTGCTTAACAAGATGCCAAACTATATCTATCAAAAGTTCTTATGCGATTCATCAAGGATATCTGAAATACTTCATGCACTTTTAAAGAAGCTTTTGGTCCAGGTCTCAAGGAAAATGGTGACATTATTGGATTTACTGTATTGTTCACAGCTGTTATGCCTTATGTCAATCTTGAATTTTGTTCTTTTATTTTTTTTTTTCCCTTACCTCAGAAAGAGTCCAAGCTTTGCAGAAGATGGAAGGAACAGACTGGTAAGCTGGGGTTATTACACAGAAGAGCAGTAGCTTTTCAAAAATTCCAAAACCCAACAGCTTTGCGAAACTTTGTTCATTTTTTCCATAAATAGATAGTTAAATCACATTTATTCTTGAAAACACACCAAAACCCCCAGTTCTTGGTATGCTGCAGGATTTCTGCTGGGAAGATATGGAGGATCAACTGTGTATTTTATAGCTAGAGTGGCTCCTTCTCTCACTTCCATGGTCTCCTACCCCTTCTGAGTGTCACACAAGAACTTGAGGCATTGCCCAACATCAAGACTTCTCCCCCTCTCACAAACAATCCAAGCTGCATTTACAGGCTCAGACTGTGTGCAGAGCTTTTGCTGGTGCTCCAACCCCAAATCTACTCCAAATGCCAGGGTGGGAAGGTGCACATCCCTGGTCACTTGTGCACATGTGGGTGGTACTATCAGTCACGTGCACAAGGCATTAAGACATGTCTTACCATTTCCATTAAAACTTCTAAATTAAACTTCAACCAAGTAGACTTCTCTGTGTGGACCAATGCTTTTGCTTTTACATTTTAAAATTTTTATTATTTTATTGATAAAAGTTTTAATTCTTCAAGAAGCATACCTGTGAGATATAACCGGGAGGCACATGAATAGGGGGAATGGATCCATTGGGTGACATCATGGGAACCTCTGCTGGTCCTAATAGAAAGAGAGTAATAAGATATCAGGTTTTTTTCAGTTAAAAAAATAGCATAATGGCTTAGAAAAGGTTAAAAATAGCTTGATTTTTGAAGCCTGCAATAACAAAATGAGCAGCTCCACTAATTTCTGGTAAATGGAAAATGCCTTGTGCCATCATTCTGAGAATAAGATCATTGTTCAATGACTTTACCATATATTCTGCTGAAATAATATTTTCATCATAAAACAGCTAGAACACAGACTTTATATTACCCACTGATCAACTTATACAGCATTAAGCAGTAACACAATATGTTCTTTAGCAGCCCACAATTCCTATATTGAACTCTGTTTAAGTTATTCTTGTCAAAGACATAGGAGCAGGGAACAAAGCAGAAACTGTGTAGCCTGGAATTAGGCAGCTCCCAAGGAAAGCGTCCAATTGTAGCAAAAAAAGAAAAGTCACATATGTGAAAAACTATCTATCTATTTAAGAATGCACAAAGACCAAATTCATTATCTCAGCTATTCAGACTAACCTTGGAATGTGGTTATACAAGCAAGAAGCTTATGGTTTCCACTCTGAAATCCAGCCCTGAACATGCAAGTTCCATTTTGAGGCACTGAATACAAGTACAACAAAGCAAGTGCCATAACCACTGTGCTTCTGGAAATGGAGCCTTACAGCTAAAAGAAAGTGTCTAGATAAAATGGAAATAGTTCTCTCAACTGCTCACTGATTCACCCATTAACTCTGGGAACATCACATGGAGCAGTCAGTAAAATGAACCCCCCAAACATCAGACAGATGTTTGCAATCAGAGTTTACTGCTTGGAAAAGAAAAATGAATTTCATTCCTTCCTTATTACATATTAAAATCTGACACTGAACTGTTAATTAGCCCATTTGCCCCCATGGTCCAATTCCTGAGAGGAGCTCAGCAGGACTCTGCTCCTTGTCACTGCAAACTGAATTTCAGCTTTGACTGACAACACAAAAGGAAACTCCATCACCTTCTCTGATGGAGAAGCCATCCAACATCTCCAAACCATATCACATTCTAGGGAAGGAAGCTGAACACTAAAACATATGAAGCACTTCAGGCACAGATGGGATGCAATGGCCTGTAGGAGTGACTGCTCCTAAAATTTAGGCTAATCTAATGAAATCTCCAACAACAAACTGAGTCACAGTCTGTTGTCTGGTATCAGCAAAACCAGTCCACATAAGATTAGCAGTCATTCCCTCTCCAGCTGCATTTTTATACTCCTGCTGCTTCTGGTACAATCAGCAGAACTTCCCACCTCCCAGAATCCAAGTTACACACAGGAATCCATCTGAGTTATTTTTACCCCCTCTTATCTTGGTTTCTTTTCTCTATCCAGTTATTTACAGTCTAACCAGCCCCTACAGCTTTTACTGCTCACATCTAGGTTTGAAATATGCTAAACCATCATCAAGTGTAGAGGGAAAATGGGAACTCTGAAGCTTAAACTTAAATATTTTGGATCTGGTTTTGCTGGACTTCATACTTCCCTACACTTAACTATGTGGGGAACTTTACCTACACTACAGGCCCAATAAGAGGAAAAAAGTTTTTAGTTATAATTCAGTTCATATGGATTTGTCTCTTACCCTGTGACCCTCACAACAGTATTTGTCTCTCTAAACAGCCAACAATTTTAGTGTCAATGGAAAAAATTCAGCCTAAGCAGGATAAGATTATTGGGAAGGAGCTGCCAACTAAATGGCTGTATTTAAATCCATCAAAAATATGAAGTGACAATTGGTTCACAACAGAAATATTGTTTGAATAAATGTATTTTCCCAATCAAAAAAATCTCCACAAACTTCTTTTGAGTTTTTTATTTCTCTCTGAATCCACTTTACTCCGTACACACTGCCAAGTTTTGCTCCACAGTAAGCTGGACAGTTCATAAAAGGTAAAGGCTGATATTGTGAACGTGCAATTATGCTTTTTTTGGGATTTAATCCACACAGGATTATCTCAAGAGCTGTTCAGTTTTTCAGGACAGAACATGCTTGAAAATATGTAAAATGAATAGTTAACAGCTATACGACACATTCCTTGTCAGTGATTTCTCAAACTCAAAAACCTACAAGAAAAACTGTTGATATAAATTTAAAAATCCTGAGTTCACCATTTAAATAAACAATCATTTAAATATTGCATGTAGATGTTGCTCAGTAGAATGAAGCTTTATGCATAACCTGTTTCAGCCCCTCACCAAAACTTCTTACAGATGTATTGGGTAGTTGTTCTCAAAAATAGCAACTCTGACTTGGAATTAAACTTCAAAATGGAACAGCTTTGGAGTTTCTACACAGAGAGCAGATATACACAATAAATAAGCAGCACAGCATGCCTCATATCTGTCCTTCCAAACCTTGTGCCAACTGCTCATACGGAGTAGTGATCTACTTGCAGGAAGAAATCAAACTCCCACACTGATACTGTTGACTGTAACACTTCCACTCCAATAAAAAAAACTTAATATTGTGTTTTATCATCAAAACGTGCACCGTGCAAGATGAGTCTTAACCTTGCATATGACCCACAAACTGTTAAAGTCATTTGGATAACAGGTTTTAAAAGACTGACAGCCTGGTGATTTGCAGCTAGATTTTGTTTCCACTGCTTTGATTTCAGGGTTAGCCAAATGACTTTAGCACACACTACTGCATTCCGCTCATCAATGGTATCAAAACAACTTCAAGTGCTAGTAAAATAAAGACCCGACCCCCCCCACCTCCACAGCTCAATGAGTCTCAGTAATTATTAAAGATTCTTCTTGTTGTCCAACCATTCCTTAATTAACACTAAAACAAAACCATATCTTTTGTTTGGCTTGGATTTTGTTTATTTGGTTTTGGGGATTTTTTTTCTTTTTTTTTTTTTTTTTTTTTTTTTTTTTTTTTTTTTTTTTTTTTTTTTTTTTTTTTTTTTTTTTTTNTTTTTTTTTTAGTATTTTTTTGTTATTTTAAATAGTTTTGACCTATTAAAATGTAGAACTTTAGAGGAGGATGTTCCTCAGCTGCTTGAATTCACAGGTTGGAAGTACTGTATACTCTTGGGAATCACAACTTTGCAGGTTTTAATTGAAGCTTGTGGCTCAATATAAATTATTTAAAGGAGAAAATTTCCTTCCATTCCACCAGAGATGCTGCACACTGAAGCGAGCTCGCTGGAGTACTTTTCAAACCTGTTAACAAATGCAGATTGTCTGCTGAGTTCCTGATGCAACTGAGCCAGCAGTGCTTGGCCACCTCTGCTGACAAAGCCAGTGGCCAAATTCCACCCCAGCTCCTTTCCCGGGAATGCAGCACATCTCCTCTGGCTCCTGGAGGGCTGCCCTGTCCAAAATGCAGGTGCAAGGAAATTATTCCCCTTCCTCTGGAAGAAGAGAAAAGCAGAAGCCACCAGGCTGGAGGCACCAATGTCCACCTCGCCAGGCCCCACTTGTCCCCAGCTGGCAGAGCAGTTTTCCTATTTCCAACACATAATATTTAACAGAATAAAACTTTGAATAAGTAAAAGAAGCAACTCAGTCTCATACAGTGGCAGAACTAATTAACACCTTGACACCCCAGTCTGAGCCTCTCCTCCTCTTCCCAAACACCTATTTCCTTTTGCTGCTCTGCCACCCCTCTGATGGCATAAAAGCTGATTATTTTAACCATTTCAAATAACCAGAAAGATTTTTCAAATGTATTTTCTTTTAAAAAACCACCTGCACACTCAGTCTAACAAAAATAACAACCACCACCATTCTATTCCTTCTTGTGCCATGTTTTATTGGACATCAAAAAACAGGGCTCTCTTCCACCTCAGTTCTCCCACTTGCCCTGGAAAGCAGAGATTGACAGTTCTTCTGGTCATTTTTATTCCTTCTGGAATAATGTCACAATGTACTTGAGAAAGTTCTGTCCCAAGATTTTCAAGGCTAATTATAGCCTGGGTTGCAACCCCTAACACTTTCAAAATTCTTGTACAAAACCAGTTTTGGAATAAGTATGCTTTTTTTCTTGTTCCCTGGTGACCTTTAATGCATGCATTAAAGATCACTTTAATCAGTTTTCTTTCCTTAAATTATAGAAGCCAGAATCTGGCATTTCAGTTCCTCCAGCTACAGAAACACTTCTTTCCTATTTCTCTCCTTCCACATAACATCATAGGGCAAAAAAGTCATTTTGCCATTATCATGAGTGCTCAGAGAGCATTACTTTTCTTTATTATGCCCCCTGTAGAATATTTTTTCACATCTAGTTAGAGCACATGGGCATATGTTTTACAAAGAGCTTCTGGTGACTGTTTTGCAATTACCAGACTCTACCAGGCTTCTTTGCTCAAAGTTCCCATTCTGAAAGCAGTTAATGGAAGTTTCCTGAAGTTCAGGAATTTCTCAGCCCTGTTTCCAGCAAACACATGCCAATTTACCATTTCACACCACAATACCTGCACTAGCAGAGAAACAATATGAAATTAATTTTCAAACTCAAAATCAGTAAAGAATCCTGTACATTTCAATAACAAGAACCTACTGAACTAGCTAAGCGAAAAATTAAATCCAGGGAGGTAAATGCCTTAAATTTTATAAAAATTAACAGTTAAAATTAACCCATGAAAAATTATTCTGCCTCTCCCTGATCCACAACAGAACTGGTATCACATCTTTCACATGTGGCACTTCTCAGGAAGTAAATCTATGGAGCAAGAGGTGTGACAGAATGAAAAGAAGAGATAATTAAGGGCAAATTGGTCTGCTTTGCTAAAACAAATGACCCAGGGCTTGCTGACCTTGGCTGGGACCCAAGGGTTTGCATTTTCACATGGATGAGCAGCTGTTCCGGAACAATTTCCTCAATGAAACAAGCACAAACAGGCTCCCTGTCAGGCACACGTGTCTTCTCCCTCCACTTGGTTATTCTCAAAGCAGCTTACGGACTAAACAAGGTGATGACAAAAAAAAAAAAAAAAAAAAAAAAAAAAAAAAAA